GAGCGTGGGGCCGGCCGGCCGGGGCGGGGACCTGCATCGCTGGGGGTCCCGGCTGGGCCGGCCCGCATAGAAACAGGGGGCACATGCCTCCTGCACCAGTGATCCGGGCACAGGGAGCCCCCCCTCCCCCCATGTCTCCACAGCACCCTGCTCTACATATGCCCCCTCCCCAGTTGCATTCCTGGCCAGTGTCTCCCTGGCACTCCCTGCTCTTCTGGAGACCTGGGCCAGGTGCTGAGCTTCTGCCAGCAGCACCTCGGCAGTACCAGGGAACAGGGGGCACATGCCTCCTGCACCAGTGATCCGGGCACAGGGAGCCCCCCCTCCCCCCATGTCTCCACAGCACCCTGCTCTACATATGCCCCCTCCCCAGTTGCATTCCTGGCCAGTGTCTCCCTGGCACTCCCTGCTCTTCTGGAGACCTGGGCCAGGTGCTGAGCTTCTGCCAGCAGCACCTCGGCAGTACCAGGGCCAGCCATGCCCTGGCACCAGGCACCTCATTGAGTGGAAGCAGTGTTGGGCAAGCCCCCAGAGGCAGCCTGCTCTTGCAGGCATACAGATCCAGGAGGCACATGCCCCCCTCCACCCCATGCTTGCCCAAGAGTGTATGCAGCAGTAGGAGCTGTCTTTTCTTCCCCATCACCGCATTCCCCTGAAAATGAGCTGCTCACAGCTCTGTCCTGCTCCCCACCCCAGCTGGGCAGTGCCTATGGGTGCCCCTTCACTTCAGCACCTGGGGCGGTTGCCTTGCTCACCCCTGCCTTGCTGCAGCACTGACAGGGTGCTCCATGCGTGACCCTCACTAAGCACTGAGGTTTCTGGCTGCTTTGTATGATTGATATGGCCATGGAATGATGGGAGCTGCCTGTGTGGACTTGAGTACATGTTCTCTAGTAAAATATTTTGCCTCTAATGCATCATGGTGGGGAAGGCAGTGTGGAGGATGGGAAAGGTACATGTCTCGCTGGCCAGACCTTGAGTCTGGCAGTCTGGTTTGTCCTACTGTTTCCATTGTGCCTAAGAAGTAAAGGTCTTTTCCCCATTCCAGGCAGGGAATCCACAATCCAAAGAAGATGTCAAGACGCAGGTAACTGTCATTTTATAGTAACCAAATTAATTGGGGTCCGTTTCCCAGCAGCAGTTCTCTTGATGCAATACATGTCTTTTTGTATCTCTTGCCTCCTGCAGTAGCCGCCTACAAGCCAAACAGCAGCAGCAGCCGCCACCGCCGCCACCACCACCACCATGTCAGGAAGAGTTTCCTCAAGAGCTGCAGGCACCAGAGTCTCTCCAGACCAAAAAACGGAAAGTGGCAGAGGTGAGCAGGTGGATTCATTTTTAGTCCCTAGAAATGAGCATGATTGCCTCTGCCTTGTGTGGGCTATGGCAGGGAGGAAGAGCTTTTACTTCTTCCAGTAGAAGATGGAATTAGGAAGCATTTCAAGAATGGTGGTAAAAGTGTGCCCCTTATTGTATATGAAACTATAATGGCTGGGTGCTAATCAACTGACTATTCTCTTCTCAGCAGGATCTTCAGAAAAAAGAAGATGAAAAAGTCACTAAGAAGCATCAATATGAGATTAAGGTAAGGCATTCCTACATACAAAATAGACTGGAGCTAGGTGTGGGAGTCAGCAACCACCCACCCCACCTGCAAAAAGGGCAAATCGAAAATGGCAGTTGGATTGGAGGAAGCTTCTGCCATTTAGCAGTGGAAAGCACAGTGGTTAAAGCACAAGACTCCTGGGTTTTATACTGAGCTCTGCCACAGATGGTTTTATCTGCACATTAAATTTATTCCAAAATAAATGTAAGGTTTGAATTTAAAAAGAAATGTCTAGACTCTAAATCTACACAGAGTTTTTTTTTTTTTTTTTTTTTTTTTCTGGAACAGTGAAGTCCTAAGGCCTGATCTAAACAAGAAAAGTGCACTGATTTCACCTAAACAGTAGTCTTAAATCCATGTAGTTAGGCAGACAAAAAGAGCTGTTTCTATTTAAATTAAGTTTGTTTTTGCTGAAGTCTGGTAAAGCATCAGTTTAACCTGAAATAAACCAAATAAGATGTGGAGCAGTTTAATTTCAAGTAGATGAAAATGCATATCTCCTGTTTTAAACTAGTACAATCTTCTTCATGTAGACAAGGTCTGACTATGATCTTGGGAAAGTCAGAATCTATCTTATGAAAACTAGGGGAGTAATGTTGAGCTTAAAGGAGTGCTGTGAAGCTAAACTGTCTAATGGTAGTGCTATGTCCTGAGACCCTGGGATAATAGGTGCTATTAAATACAAAAGTTGTAGCCAAAGGAAATAACCTTGCTAAACAGGGTAGTGTCTGGGGTATGTCTATGTGCACATCCTTCACATGCAATAATTTGCAGAATAAACTGTTCTAGGGTGGGTCAGTGGAGCTTGATGCATGTTTGTGGGATGGAGTTGGGGAGTATGCATCTAATTGTTGGATATTAAGTTGCTCACTGACAGAGTAACCACAGTTATGTCCTCATTTTTAAGGGATATTTTTTTACTGAAACATTTTGAGTGTGTTCCACATGCTTGAAACACATCTTTACACAAGAAAGAAATAATCACTGGAAAGTTTTTTAATTAAAAATTAAGACATGAATATCGGTTTACCTGAAGGTTTTCTGCATGAATTACTTTGTTCCCCCTCTTTTGGAGTGATTGCTTTGTTTTTCATCCCATACTTGGGCCTTGGCAGGCTGAGGAGTTGGTCTATAGCTGCTGTTCCCAGTGGATATATGGCCCTGGAGCTCGACACTAGTTATTTTTCCCCTCCATGCTCCCCAGCTAGAGGATAATAGGAAATGGGGTAGCTCGCTCTTTTTTCCTTCCTCCTCTATCTATCTTTCATCTGGGAGGAGGATTAGCAGACCATGGTATCCATTACAATTTTGTTAATGCAACTGTTGTGAATATTACAATTTAAACTGATTCAAGCAATGGAGTAGTTGATTCAGGTACCATGTGTAACAAAGTGTTCAGTCTCCAAAGCCAGCTTGCTTTTGATTTATTAGAATTGAACATATGCTGTCTCCATCTTGATTAGGAAGTCACTATTTTTTGTTTTTAATCTTTCAACGTGTTAATCCTGTGTCCTGGAATGCTTGAATTAATCAGTTTTTAGTTCTGAAGGTTCAGTGAACTTTAAAATTGTTTTGTGCTTTTTATGTTCTAGTGTATAAAAGGATGTTGAAGGATAAATTGGTTATCATGCAATAGGACAAATAGAAAAACTATTGAATAAAAATATAATCTCTCTGCTACTTTTGTGTCTTGGAAACAAGCTAGGCAGTTGAAGTCGGCACCTAAAAGGTCTCTCTCTATTTATTTTTCAGAGCTGTTGGTCACCCACAATAACAGGAGGCATCTCCCCCTGCATAATTATTGAAACACCTCACAAAGAAACCGTAACCACTGACTTCTCCAGATTCAAAAAATATAGGTTCAGAAACCTCTTCATAAACCCATCCCCTCTGCCTGAACTTAAGTAAGTTATTTATGTATTGCTGCTTATGAATTGGGGTAAATCAACATTGTGAAACCTATTATAATGGTGCCCAGTATTGGGTTAAACCTCCTGTTCTTCCTGTGACCCTTAAAACAGACACTGGATTTTTAATTTTTTTTTTTTTAACATCAGTGTTCCTAATAAGAGCCATTTTCTTGTGGCTTAATACCAAAGACTACTTAAGGTTGATAGTAAGATTCATCTGGTCACTTGCACATTTTTAATATAGCAAATAAATGAGTGCACTATTGGAATCTATCCATCTAGAAAACCCTGAGTGCAATAGATTCTCATTCATGAAATAGAACATGATTTGGCTGCTGCTACTTAGAATTTTCCATGTCGCAGTGAAACTGACTAGTCCTGTTGCTCTCACTCCTACTGCTGTTTGGCATAGACACTGAAACCGAAGACATCACTTAAGATGTGATCAATGGTTGAGGAGCTTTTTTAGTGATTGTGTGACAAGCCATATAAAACCCTAATAAGTTAAATTAAATTGGTGGTTTAGATGGCTGCATTCTCTTGTGAAAACTTTTTATTTCATGAGAGAAAAATAAGGATTTTGGGTGGTTATCTTTTATTGGACCAACTGTATGATTGGGGGAGAGAGACTTTTTCAAATTCAGTGCTGCTTTTTTAAGGACCACATTGCACAAACTTCTGTAAGTTTATCCCAACCATGCAGTTATCCAGTAGAGATCACCCACAAAAATCCTTTTCTCTCATTTCCTTGGACCAGCATGGCTGCACTATCACTCCAACACTACTTAATTCTTAAATATTTTTCAAACTCTTCACTTAGCTAAATTTAAGATTGTTAGCCATCCTTGGATTGCTTGAAAGTGTTTTAATCAATTACTTCCTGTCTTTACAGTGACAGGACACTGAGAGTACCCTCATCCCTCTGCTTTACCTGTGACAAATTAAAGGGTGTTTTTGATGTTTCAGCTACTGTCTGACAGTCATGTTGGGAGTGTTTGGTTCAAAGCGTGGGGTTTTTTTCAAATCTGTTCTTGAAAACCTGTCTAGGATAGTTTTAGATGAGTATGATCCTGCCTTAATCATGGGCTTGGACTAAATAACCTTCTGAGGCCCCTTCTACCCACTCTATTTTTAGAATCATTAAAAAAAATAAAATAAAATAAGCGAATGCATCTTTCTGTGACTTTTTTTTTTTTTTTTTTAAAGCAATGAAAAGTGTGCTTGTATTGCACTGCTCAAAATATTTCTTACCCAAAATATTTTTTTGCCACCTACTTTCCTCTTTCTTAAATCTTACTGCATATAGGGTACATCTACCCATGATGTTATGTTGCTATAGTGATGTGCTATGGTAACGTAGCATCCATGGGTATCTACATGTGACCAGCAACTACTTTGCTGTAGCGGTGTGCTCCCCTGTTTATAGCACGCCACTGTGGCAAAGTAGCTGCTAAAAGTGATAGCACCATGTGTACGGCACAGTACGGGCGGTTACTATGCTGTGCTTTTAGTTCTTCCAAAAGGAAGTATTAAAGCACAGTGCAGCAACAACATCACTGTAGGGCAATGTGTAGATGCTCCCATTAGCTAATATTTTGAATAAAGCATGTTTGTGTACTTTGTGTCAAGAAATGATTTCTCAAAGCTTCCTGTGACTTGTATTCCATAGCTGGGGAAACTCCAAAGATGTATGGCTCAATATTCTGAAGAAGGAGAACAAATATGCTCATTGCAAACACTTTACGTCACTACATACTAATTTGCAACCACACATGAGGTCAATACTCCTGGACTGGCTCTTGGAGGTGTGTTTTTTTTTCAAAGTTATGTTATATTATGGCTGTTAAACAGATTGGTGTAGTGGCAAAAATAATAGTTTAAAGAAAGTATCAGTAACAGAATATGCTATAAATGTAAATGGTGCACACGTTTTGCAAAAATTTAAGCAACAGTAGTCTTGTGTTATCTCCCATGAATGACTTGTGTCCAGGGCTCTTTGCTATGGCTGATGACCATGCTAATTGTTAAAATAGTGCAAAAGTAACTCTTTCAACATTACATAACTGTTCTAAGGCACCATGGTGCAGCACACATGCAACCATAACCAAGTCCCTAAAGTGTATCAAAGCTGTGGGGAGTAATGTTATGGTACCATTTGGCAAACTTGATTGCTGCAATGTCTACAAGGCCTTAAAGATCAGAGTTTGTATTTTAAAGGCCTATTTATGCTGACGTGTGTGTGGAAAAACTTACCTCAACTCGCCTCTGAAATTGATTTGGCATTGGTGGGTGTTGCGTTGTTTAAAATGCATTTTGTCTGTTCTGTTTGTGCCATGTTTGGGACAGTTTTGACTTGCTCCATGCTGGCAGCCAAACCACTTGAAAGATTATTTGTGTGGGAAATCCTTCTTAGAATAGTAGTGCTCAGCCTTCTGGCTCTGCAGGCTGGATGAGTGGTATGGAGCTAGTCTGTGGGCCAGATCCCATGGGTGCATTCAGTCTGTAGGCCAGATCCAGTATGGAGTTAGCATCATATGATTGGTCTGTGAGTGAGATCTGGTGTGCTGGTTCCTGTCACTGAACAACCCTGCACACCAGCCCAACCTTGTGCAGGGGTGCATGGGATGCACCATGAAGATCCAGTGCATGGGGCCACAGGTGCAGCCTGTAGAGCTGCCCATGGGTCTAGAAATATTGGCGGTGGGGATGTGGTGTAAGTGCTAACTGCTGTAGCTCGGGAAGCTAACAAAATGTACTTTGAGCAGATGTGGCTCCTTCCATCTATACAAAAAAATTCATTTTGGAAGGGAGCTGAGTTTCTAAGTCTCTGTACACAGCCATGGCAGTTAAACACTGCCACCACTTCCCTACTGTCAAGTATCCAGACCCAATGGGAGGCTTGTGGGTTGGATAGTAGACTGCTGTTCTAGAGCAGGGCTGGCTATTTTGCAAGACCTTTTGTTAAGACTGTCTTGCTGTTGCTGCCCATAGTAGATCTTGAGTTGCACTGACGGAGCAGTGACTGCATGTTGGTAAATTCCATGCTGTTAAATGCCCCGGGCAGGGGGCTATTGGAGTTGGTAGCCATCGTTGCCTTTATTTATATCTGAACTCCACTGTTGCTATCATCAGGGGACTTACACTACTGGCAAGTGTTGAATTACTTGGAGGAAAGAAGTTAGACAGCCTGAACATAAAGTGATGCAAATTGTATGACTTGACCATTCATTCCCAATATACAGTTCTCCATCATCTCTGAATTGGCTCATTTTTTGGCTACTGTTGAATTGGCTATTGCTAAGAGGTTACCCAACTTGATTAACACCTCAGCTGAACACCACTGCTCCAGCAGTGCTCCATATCCTGGTTAGAGTTATGGTAGTCCTCTATACCTTGCTTAAACTTCATCCACCTGCCATTATCAGCCACGGCAGGAAACTTAGTGGAGGGCTGAGTGGGTGAGTACATACAGAGCCTTTGTGGGTGGATGTGCAGAATGTGATGCAGAAAGGTGGCTTATTGCTTCCCCTCTCTCCCTCCATCCTCGTGCCACCTCCCCTGCCCCCTCCCACCCCCCCCCAATGCATACCGCTAACTTGTGGCTTTTCTTACAAAGTCACTGTATCGCAGAAAATATGGAAGCATTAGTAAGCAAGCTCCTTGGCTTGTACAGCAGTAAATGTTAAATCTGCAAGTTACTTCCTTTCATGTCCCACTGAATATTAGCTATACAACTTAGCTTGCATGCTTTTAAAGGAATTGTCTCTTCAGGAAGGGTTCTACTTGAGTTTAGTTAAAACATGTCACTCTTGAGGCGATTTGAACAATATTTAGAGCTCAAGAAATTATTTGGACAGAAATTATTGTTGGAAAATGCGAGTAGCTCTACATACAGCTTTTAAATTTGAAGGCAAACTAGATCTTAAACCAATATTGTTTTATTTTGGCTTTTGCTTCTATTTTCATTTTAAGCAGTTTTGGACCTTGTGGAACCCAGAGAAATGTATTGTTTGAATTTCTGTAGTGATTTTTTCTTCCCCCCCCCCCCCCCCCCCATCCAGTATATTGTAAACATGGCTACCTTTAGCACATGTCAAGGACAAAGATCACCGACCACTAAACGTGTTAGAAAGCATGATGCTGGGAAGAAATCATCAAGCTTTTCCAAAAAGTGTTTGAACTAAAATTTCTGTTGGGCTTTTTGTTCCTAGGTCTGTGAAGTATACGCACTTCACAGGGAAACCTTCTACCTGGCTCAAGACTTTTTTGATAGATTCATGTTGACACAAAAAAATATCAATAAGAACATGCTTCAGCTTATAGGAATTACCTCATTATTCATTGCTTCCAAACTTGAGGTAAGTTGCTGTGTGTGGAGTTCTATATTGCTGGCTGGAATAATATGTGTGATTTTTTTTTTTTTCTTTATTTTTTTTTATTAGAACTTTTTTATAATCATTTTGGAGGGAGGGGAGTTATCAACACAAGACTTCAGAGTGTTTTGAACCTGGTATTAATACAAGTAAAGCCTGGGTGAAGACAGAAAAAATAATTGTACTGCTTAAAGGGAGGGCTTACCATGATTCAGCTGAATCCTAACTACTGTTTTGTGGTTTTTAACTCCCACTTACCACAATATATTTTACCACCTGTCTTGTTGGGTAAATCACTGCTTCACTTATGCATGATTGGGGTAGGCAGATGAACCAGTGGATCATCTGTTTTGCTCACAAATGGTATGCCCCCCAGGTATAACTACTGTCTGTGCACACCCATAAAATTGTCAGTCCTTTGGTGGAGAAACCACACATGCAACACAGCTTAAACTATGTTGGCTTTCTTCATCAATTTAGCTGAATTTCTATCTGGAATTTTGTTGGTTTAGAGTCTGACTTTCTCTCACTCTTACCAGTGTAATTTGTGAGAGCAAGACTTTGTAGCGCAGATGTGACCTGGCTTTTGTCTAGGTTACTGCCATAATATTGCCAAGATAACTTTATTGACACTGCTTTTCTAGTAGAGAGTAAGCCTTAGAAAATGGGATGGTAATTGGTGTAACTTACAACAGCTTTATTGGTCTGTTACAGCTGTTTAAATAGCCAAGTGTCTGTCTACTTTCTGGGATGTTTTAGTCAAGGAGGACCCTGCCTTGTGCAGGGGGCTGGACTAGATGACTTTGTGATCAGTCTTTTCCAGCCCTACATTGGGATGATCCTATGAAGTGAGGGTTATAGAACATAAAAATAGTGTAAGTAGGAAACAATTCAAATCCTTTGGCCAACATTTCCCCTCTGAATAAAACTTGTTCTAATAAATATATGGAATCTGGAATATCTACTCTATACCCATCTCTGCATGTGTAGGTTCCAGTATGTGTTAGTCATAAAAACAAAGAAGTTTGTTTTTTCTATCATAAGAAATAGCTGAAGAACGGTATTTATTTTGTTTGAAAGGGTAAGTTATCTCTAATAGTGGGAAAAGTTGTGAAATGCCTTTAGTTTTTTGCAGAATCCAGAACTGTTCTAATATTTACAACCTTTTTTCTCCTATAAAAAGGAAATCTATGCTCCTAAAATACAAGAATTTGCCTATGTTACTGATGGTGCTTGCAGTGAAGATGATATCATAAGAATGGAACTCATTATATTAAAGGTAACAACAGTTTTCTCTCTCTCTCTCTCTCTCTCTCTCTGATGGCTGTATTTTAGCAACTTATTTCATGACTTTCCCCTAATACAAGCAAAAGGTACTTTAAGTTAGCATCTGCCATTGGGTGAAGGGCTCATTTAAGACGCTCTTGCAGAAACCCTTCATTTTTGTCTTCTGCAAGAAAAGGTTGGGTTTCTGAGCCATTGGTAAGTCTTTAGAAGTGACCCATAACCCTGCCTTGCTACTCTAAAACCACAAAAATAACTGACTATAGGGGCGTGTCCCAAAAAGGGCTCACATGCAGTTTGCAGTGCCTCGAAGCAGTAGCACATGCGAACCCATTTGCGCTGTTCACTTGCAGCATGGCATGGTTAATTTGTTTGTGGTTTTCTGACAATAGGAGATCCTGGTGTCAAAAAAAAAAAAAAAAAAAATGCCCCTAAATCAGTGTGGTGCACATGGCAGCAGTGTGCGCTGCCAGAAAGGGAGCCTGGCTGGACTGGCTTTGGCTGTCCTGGGAGGCCCCAAGAACTCCAGGTACTGGCCCCAGCCTCCTTTGTCCCATCCAGGTCACTGCCATGTGCTGGACCACACATGCTGGGGCATGTGTGGAGACAAATATGTGCCACTGCTGTTTGTCCCATGGGAAATGTGTGGCCCTTAAGATGTGCGCTCATCAGGACATGCCCCGGGTCTGCAAAAGGGTCCTCACCTGGCCTGGGCAGACTCCTGTTTTGCATAGATGTTTGGTTCTTCACTGTGAATGGGATCAAGTTTTGAAACTTAAGAAACCACTGTGAACATAAATCACTCTTCCCTGTTCCACTCCATGAATGAACTAGGTATATCTTGGTGGAGAGCATATTTTGCCTCTTGTGGGCATCTTGTGCATAAGGATTATTATCTGCTTGGTAATGGTGAAAGGAGGGGTAGGAGAGGCATTCTGGTTCTTTTTAAATGGAAGTTATATGTGGGATCTTGGATGGCATTTTGAGACATCCAACATGGCAGTTGGGTCTAACCTAAACGGGGAGGGAGGCAACTAAATTGAATGGGAAAAGGGGAAGCAGATGCAGAAGATCTGGAGCTGTACTTCGTGGGGCAAGAATGCTTTATGCTCTTAGTTCTAGGGCAGTTAAATGTTATTTATTTGCAGGCTTTAAAATGGGAACTGTGTCCAGTGACTATCATTTCCTGGCTGAATCTTTATCTTCAAGTGGATGCTCTGAAAGATGTTCCAAAAGTGCTGCTACCTCAGTATTCTCAGGAGAAATTCATTCAGATAGCACAGGTTGGTAGTCATCTCATTTAGTGCACATCACCACTAGGATTCCTTTGTGGGGACAGAAGTATATTTGATGTGTCAACAGAGACGACCCAAGCAGGGTGCGGGGCCCCATCCCTGGACATGAGGAAGCCAGCAGCGGATTCAGAGGGCAGGAAGTGTTGGATGTGCTAGATTCAGGGCGGGGACGATGCCAAGTAGCTGGACATGAAACTGGTGGCAGTGTGGAGTCACTGCAGCTGTTCTGTGGGGCCTCCCAAAGCATGAGGCCCTGGGTGGTTGGCCAGATGGGTGGCCCCATGTCAAGATCTCCAAGAACATACCAAGCCTTATAAAATAGATTAATGTTACAGTGTAAAAGGGGGGTTAAAACCTGTTGGTTGAATATCAACAGTCTGCTAAATATTTATAATAGTAATTCTCAGCAAGGGTACCATGACACCTAGGGGTGCCTTTAAGATCCTTTCAAGGGTGCCATAGAATGCTATATACAACAGTAGCATTTTAAGGTGTGCATTGAAAATGTGACAATCTCTAGGTTTATCTTGCAAATAAGAATCCATAGTTCCAAAAAAAATCTGACCTGTTGTGGTCTATCTTGTGGCTTCTTTCAGTAGAACCACTTTATCTTTCTGTAGTCAAAAACAAGTGAAAAATAAGAACTGGTATTGTACAAGGGATGCCTTGAGTCTAGAAAGGTTGAGAATTGCTATGGTGGACTTTTTTTTTTTTTTTCTTCTTCCTTGGATGGTTTTAACAACCTTGCACTAGTCTTTCCATAACTAGTTATGGAATCCATGCTGTAGGACTAAACAATAGGTGTCTGTTTAGTGTTGGGTGCATAGGACTAGAGTGCAACACAAAGCATGCTACTTGGGTGGCAAAGGTTTTGAAGATATGAACTCAAGCTACATACCAATAAATGAAAATAAAATGTAGTATGAAAAACATTCATGGTGTTGTTCCAGTCTTCAGGAATATACTGATAAAGGCTTTTTGTCAGCGGTGTAAAAAATAATAGGGTAAACGTATTTGGTATATGAAAATAAGATTGAATTCTGGGAAAAGAAATCTTGAAACCTGAAATAATTTGGATCCTATGGACTCTTCTTTTCAGGCCTACAATGGCTTATCCAGGCAAGATGTTAACTGAGAAAAAGCCAGTTCACTGTACAAACAATTTCTAGCTAGCAATCAATATAAAATATCTGTTTAATTATGGATGGGGATGATTTAATTGCCATATGCTTGCATTTATGATTAATACCTCCCTGGACTTCTACAATCTCAGTTTGTAGAAGTATACAAAATAGTCTTGGATAGCTCTCATCAGTCTGTAAGCAGAACAGTAAATGACTTTGCACCCCAATTCAGAGTGATTCTTATTCTGATGCTGTCTACATCTTGTGTACATGCAGGAAGCTTCCAAGGGGTAATCAAAATTGATGTGAAAACTGACTTTGTTTAACAAATGCAACTTCGTATCACTATCTTTTAGTTCATTAGTCTGTAACACAAGGTTAAAGTTTCCTTTGAAAGTTAAATCCTGATAGCTAACTTTTAACTGGCTTGTGTATGTTTGAATATAATAACCATGGTACAGTGTATCCTTGGAGTGGTAGGCTTCATACTATGCTTCTGGGAATCTTTCTCTGTTATAACAGAAACTTTGTAACCTTATTGTTTCCACAGCTGTTAGACCTATGTATTCTAGATGTCAATTCTCTGGACTTCCAGTATAGGACACTGGCTGCTGCTGCGCTCTGCCACTATACCTCAGTTGAAGTAGTTAAGAAAGCTTCAGGTAAAGTAGACAGTTGCTATGATGGCTCCTAAAGGCTCATGTGGTTACAATTAACTTTAAACTCTTAGAACAGTACAGTTTTCTAGCAAATCGAACTAAGGCTATTAGAATTGATAGGCTTTAAAAATAGTTCATGCTTATGTACTCCCCCCACCCCCTCCACTTCTCAGCCTTGCCTGAGAGCTGTATTCAGTTTTTGTACCATCTTGGGTCTACTTGCCATATTTGCAGCCCCAGTAAAACTGTAGGGAGCAAATATTTTAATTTTTTTAACAACCAACCAACCAGATTCTCAAACGCACAATATTTGGGGTGGGAAACAGTTTTAGGAACTCCTGATATTGCTAGTTACTTGCCTTTGCTCCCTTTTAATGCAACTAGTGTCATGTCACTAGCAACTCATGATGTAGTGCTAGTTCTTACAGTTTTTCTATTTCTTGTAGTTCTTATAGGTGTTAACCTGTTTCCATTCAGTCTTCCTTGGCTGTCAATAGCACTGCATGATAAAATGTAAATATCTCTTCTAAAGCAGACATCCCAGAATATTTTCCTATAGTACAGGGGAGGATAAATTGGAAGTTGTAGAAAGTAGGGTGATGGTATGAAAAATCATTCAATTCAGATGCTAATAAAATGCTGGGGGGGTGGGCCAGTTAACCCCACAGCCCTTTAATATGCAGGTTTGAGTTGTTTTTTAAACTTTGTGGTGGGGAGGCTGGCTGGTAGGGAGTCAATAGCAAGGGTGGGGAGGGTAACAACATAATTTTTGAGATCCTGATGTCTAATCAATAGAAAGCTAAGATGGTAAATATTAGGCAGAAATTACGATATCAGAAAGAATCTATCATTTAACAACTGGTCCAAGCTAGTCAACACTTGGCTACTATAAAAATGAAACTCCCTCTAAAATCAATGTCCTGTCATTGGCTGTGAAGTGAATGATCCAGGTGATGACAAAATGAGGTAACTCAGTGGATGTTCCAGGCTGAGAACTTATCCCTACTCTGCTGCTTTAAGACCTGTGTGTATGGTTCGCCCCCCCCAATAATTAAAGGTGTAGTGGTTATCTATGCTATTTTGACATCTGTTGAACACAACTTTTGCTAATGGAAGTGGTGAGACCTCTAATAGTAAGAGTGGAGGTCTCTAAGAGCTCTGCTCTTATTTGTCGGAGTTTCTCAGGACACCTGTTTTTTGTTTTTGTTTTTTCCTTTTACCATTTTCTGCCTGTTCCTTTAGTAGATAAAGAATGTCTTAAACAAATCTTGAAACAACATGCTTTTCTGTGCTGCTCTAGTTCCATATAGATGCACACAGCTTAGTGGCTCTTAACATGTGCAAAGTTGCTAATATGCAATATATAGTCAGTCATTGTAGGCTGGTGGAAGAACTTAAAAAGCTTTTGGGGGAAAAAATTCCAGCTTGGTGTTCGCAAAATATGCAGTATAGCTGCCTTTTAGGATGTATGCCTATCCTGTAAGTTAGTCATAGCCATCCATTGTTGTTCTTTGTTTAACCTACAACAAAAAATTTGGATCTTGCCTTTTTATTTTTGCAACCAAATCATTCCATGCATTGACCCTCATGCAAGTACTTGACTTAAAAAAAAAAAGCGCGGAGGGCTGCTGCATGAATAATTAGAGGTATCCACAAGGGGGGAAAAAAGTTGCACAGATGATGGATCTCTGAATTGTCTTGTCAGAACAGTGGGTGGAGAGGACAGATGTACAGTCCAGATATATGCAAGCTGACATGAAATGTGTGCAGATCTATTGTGTATGTAATATAATCTTTTTTTTCCTTACCCTGTAGGTTTAGATTGGGATGGTATTTCAGAATGTGTTGCGTGGATGGTCCCTTTTTTTAGAGTGGCAAGAAAAGCCCCAGTGAAACTGAAGAATTTTAAGAAGGTGGCAGTAGAAGATGTACATAATATTCAAACCCATACAAATTACTTGGACATGCTGGTATGTATTGTGTTGGCTTTGTTTTGGTAGTTGGGCTACCATAGCTAAAACTCGCTGTTTTCCCTAGAACTGGTGGAAATTTTGCAATGATTTAATGGGCAGATCTTTCTTGTCACTGCTTTGGGTTGGGGAGTCCATTGGCTACGGCTACAGCTCAACAACCAAAAGAGAAACGTCCTGCTGCATTCTGTGAAAATCTGCATATACCAAGAACTTGGAAAAATGCCCATTAGACCCTCCTTGCACTCTATGCAGGGGGAGGGGATTTCAGTCAGGCATCTGACACTCTTTTAGTAAGCTAAGGAATATTGTCTACATCAGCAGTTCCCAAACTGACAGATTGCACACCACCAATTTAAAACAATACCTTAAGTACCACCAACAAATTTTTGTAATATCAAGTAATTAAAATAAATCTGTTATTGTGTACCACAGATTGGGAACTGCTGGTCTACATGAAAGTACTGCCCCTTCCCTGCTCCTCCTAAGCTTATGTGTAGCTCCTGCTGGCGATGAGCCAGGCCAGGGCTGTGGCCTGCTATGAAAAACCCAGGCTGCCTACAACAGTGGCTACACCAAAATCTGAAGTCCTGGTCAAGCTCACTGCTGAAAGTGGCTGCACGTGCCTTGAGGTACATAGTGCAGCAAGGGACCAGGGCTGTACTACTACACAGATCAGTCCCTCATAGCTCCCCTGCCATCCACCCCTGGCATGCCAACATCTTGTAAGCCCAGGTGAAGCAGGTTTTTCAGTACTTGGCCCAAACACATTGCCAACCCCTGTGATAAGACTGCTTGTGGTGGCTGCTGCAAATGGGAACAATGGTCTTAAATTGCAGCTGGGCAAGTTTAGGTTGGATATGCAGTAAACTGTCTCATTATGAAGGTAATTAATGCATTGGAAGAGGCTACCTAGAGGCTGTGACATCTTCATTCTGGAAAGATTTTTTTTTCCCCCTAAGAGCAGAATAGCTTAGACCAGGGGCTGGGGTAAGTGTCTTCATAATGTCCCTTCAAGCCTTACTTTTCTATAGTTTTTGATTACCTGTTACCATGGTGATGCTGCAAGTCTGTCTTTGCATAAACTGCTCCCCAGTGGTAGCATGGACTCCCACCTGCCTCATTCAGACTGCAGCAAGTGCATGGGCAGCTCTTAACCTAGAATGCTAGAAATAAGTGCCATGCAGGTGGTAACCATTTTCAACCACTTATATTCATACTAAGAGATATTAAAACTTAAATGATCAAGATGACTCACTCTTTCTTAAACACAACAAAAAAAACACAACAAAAAAAACACAACAAAAAAAAAAAAAAAACTTTGTTCCAGCAACTTAAGGACAAGTAGGGGAAAAAAACCTGAATTAAGAATTCGGCATAAATATTAAGGCTTATTTAAGAGGATACTTACTCCATTACTAATTCATGTCATTTCTTTGACTATACAGGATGACGTTAATAGTGGAGAGGCTTCTACAGCACTAGGACAGCTATCCCCAGTGTCTACAGGAGGAATAATAACACCCCCCAAAAGCACAGAAAAGAAGTGAAGCCTGTAGAAATGACCTACAATGTGAACAACTTCAGAAGCAGGACTGCTTCAGTACAAGCCTACACTAAACCTGAATCTAACCTGCTACTCTATCCTGCCACTCATGATATGTATGGTAATAAAAGACAAGTTGAACCAACGGATGGAAATCGGTTCTACAAACTGCAACTTTTCTGAACTGTTAAACCAGCAATTCCTCTATGCCACACAGGGTGCTGGACTAGATCCCTGCTGATCTAAACTGATACTACAGTAGTAGTGTTCCAAGTTGAACTTATTTTAAATGATGAATTTGTTTAATTATGGATTTCATCAACCATTTATGTTGTCCAATAAGCCATTTTTCAAAAGTCCTGCCTACTCAGTTTACATGTCAGATTCACTTTCACAGGGGAGAGCCATAAAAGGTTATTTTGGACAATGGGAACAGCAGCTTATACATGTTACCTAATGGTGATACGCTTGAAATAGTTGAGTTTCTACTTGATCTCTGCTGATACCATTTTTTCCTCTGTGTGTGGTATAAGTCTACCAGTTTGTCTTATCCCTACTGGTTAGGGATTACATGGGTCAGGGGCCATGTGGAGTTTACTTACTGCAAAGACTGAATGCATAACTGATTCTAAATGCATTGGGACACTTGAATCAAACCAGTAAACTGGCAGATTAAAATAGCTTTAGGACTAGGGCAGACTGAAGAGATGCTCTAGCAAACTTAGTTTTCAAGCTCCAGTCTATCCTTGACCTCAGGTAAAAGTACAGCTAAAAATATTGCTGCTGAAATAACTTAACTGGAATAGTTCTTGAAGGAAAAAGAAATCTACTTGACAGCAAGACTGACTCAAACATAGACATTTAGCTAGAACTGGAGTAGGTATATAAAGAGTATGCCTAGCTCATTAAGAGTCTGCAACCACTCAGAAAATACAAGTATTGGGAGGAAAAATGCTATGTACTGTAGAGTTGTCTTATCAGTGTTTAAACAGCATTAACTACTGTATGCTCCTTTGAATATTCAACTACCTCAGCTCATGAGGTGCTTAACTTTTGTTCTATAAAGGGACAGTATCTAGCAAAGGAGCTTCTCAAATTGGAGGAATGATGACCACCACAGTAGGGGTGCAGTAGTGGATCAACTACAAAGTTGATATAGACCAAACAGAACACTTCCTGGTGTGTGAAGCTATATTTACTGCCATGGTGTGCAAAACTGCTTCTATGAACACTTGAGTTGTATTAAGATCTAATATTGCCTTACCCAACTTCATTGCTTCTTCAAATAAATTGTTAAAAAAGCATGGTGAAATTAACTAAATTTTCAACTTTCTGTATAGTTTTGTAAAATAAGGGTTTTTATTGTAAGATTTCATATCTAAAAAGGAAAGAGCACAGTCTGTAAATATTGTATAAAAATTTTAAATACTCTTAACAAATGAGTAAAAAATAAAAGTGTTGAAGTTTTCCATTCTACACCCTCTTAATCTTTTAGCATTAGACTAAAAGTAAAGTTTTGCCATTGCTTGAAGAAACTTCTTTTTTCGTCTCTGTGCTGCAAGCTGTAATACTTCCTCTGGATTGCTAGCATTCAGTTCTGTCTGGCCAATAGCTTTAATCTTTAAAAACAAGAGAGAGGACCAAGAATGAACTTTTGCTAGTAATGCTGATTTTTTTTAAAAGCAGGATATCACATTATATGACATGGTCTGTGCTATCACTGTAGTCATCACTACTCAACTACAAAAGTGAACTTTGCTATAACTACAAACCCATGGGACACCTGCATAGTAGAGGACTAAAAATGTATAAAAGCATTTGGGTGAAAACTAAACACCTCTCAACCACAACAAGAATTGCTTTAACTTACTGCTATTTGTCTCTTGTCTGTCTCTCCTCTCTTATGGTGGAGATCTGAAGGAGAGTCAAGAAAAGGAAGTACTTGTGCATACATACATCACAGCTAGGGCAGTTCCTAGAGCCAATTTCCAAAATACCCAATCAAAATGCAAGAACAACTTGTAGCAGATTTAGGTACAAGTATTTTTCAGGAAACAAACCTTTCCCAGACAAGTCAGTCACACTACACTGCATGTTTCTTAAAAAGATCTTCCTTCACCCCCATCCTTTGGACCCCTGAAGAGGGAAGTAACATTCATTTTCAGCTTGTTAATATGAAATTCACAAGTCACATGCCAATGATAAAACTGTAATTTAAAAAAAAATCTACATATCCCTATCAGCTGCTTTGTATCAATTCTTTCTAATCCAAAGGATACATGTCAAATATTCCAAAATGGTAACATCCCAGATGTACTCATAGTAGGAATCCATAGCATCATGGCTGAAAAGCAGAATATCAAATAACTCAATATTATATCTAAAAGTGTAAAGATATTAAGTGCATATTGTAGTCAATAAAACACTTACCTATTTTGTTCCTGTAATGCTTTAAATGCTGTTTTATAGTCTATTTCTCTGAGGAACTGGCACAAAATTGCTACCTGTAAGAGAACATTTAGTCCAATAATTCTTAACCTTATTAGACTCCAGGTATCCCTTAGCTTGGAGGCACCCCTCAGGCAATGCCAGCTCAAGTTTTCACTTTTTTTTTTTTTTTTTTACTACAGGAGAGCAACAGAAGACTTGCTCTTAAGACCACAACAGGGCACAACTTTAATTTTTTTATTTTTTTATTTATTTTTTTTTTAAAACACACAAGTTTATTGGGAAGGGAATATGGAACTTCTCTAACCAGAGAGGGCTGATTTAATCTCAGACCAGTTCTCCCACCACCAGAAGTGGCAATTTGCCTTCTCTAGGAATCTGAGACTAGTGGGTTTCTATCCTTAGTCTGGCTGACAATTCCTTCCCTTTTAGTAAGACACTTATGGGACAGACCTGGCCCAAATCCCTACCATGTCACTGACCAAACTGGACTGCCAAGTGCAGAGTCAATTCTGGCAAGAACTGCCTCTACAGCTTGACACTATTCTGGTTACGTGCATAGCCTTGGGGCTGAAAAGAGGCTATGCACTTACCTAAAGTAGGGTTGTTGGTTGTAGCCATGTTGGTCTAAGGACACAGGCAGACAAGGTTCTTTGAGAAGATGTGGTATCTTTTATTAGATCAATTAAATTGTTCTTTGCAAGCTTTTGGGCACAAATACCCTTCTTCATGCATATAGATTGTGAGATCTCCCAGACAGAATAGAAGTCAAAATGCAGCTCTGTGAAAATTCAGATGTGTGGCAGTGAGGAACAGAGAGGTAGAAGACAATAGGTGTAAGAAAGGTTGGGGGTAGTGAAAGGGAAATGTTGAACTGGTGGTAAAAGAATGTAGCAGGTAAAATGCAGACAGGTTACCTGGGGTTATCAGATATCAGGCAGGTTATAATGTGCCATAAATCCAATATCTGTATTTAGTTCATTATTTTTTGTATCCAGTAGGTTGCTGAAGTAGAGTTCATAGGCTCCTCTGTAAAAGGTGTTTCGTAAATTCCCTTTGAGGATCAGAACTGAGAGATTAGAGAGTGGTTGTCTTGTGAGAAGTGTGCACCCACAGGTGATTGGGTATTTTTGTCTTTGACAGATTTTTTGGTTTGTGTTCATTCTGCTGTGTTGTTTTTTTCTATGTATTTTCCATCAGGGCACTTGGTGCACTGGATGAGATGTATTGCATTTCTGCAGGTACAGGTATAAGAGCCAGGTGATGGTTCTGTTGAAGGGTGCAGTTATTGTAGGGGTGGTGGAGATGTGTTGGCAGGTTTTATGTTTTTTGTTCTGGCATGGTCTGGATCCATTCAGTGTGCTTTGGGCCATAGGAAGTTTGCTTCTGATGAGGTTGGCAAGGTTCAGTGCTTGTTTAAAGGCTAGATTGGGTGGTTCTGGAAAGATATCTTTAAGAATTGAGTTTTCTTCTAATATGGGTTGCAATTGTTTGAGGATGTTCTGTACATGTTCCAGAGAAGGATGATTTGTCAAAATCAATTATATGCGATTTGTGGGGATTTTCTTTCTGTACTGCAGTAATTATGTGATATCCAGGTGGCTCTTTCAAATGTATGATCTCTCTTGCTGGAGAAGCATCCTTATTGGGTGAAAGCCCTTTTGAGATTACCTGCAACTGTCACCTCGCTATTCTTCTCAGTGAAGGTTCAGTAGTATCTGAGGGCTTGGCTGTATATTACAGCTTTCTTGGTGTGTTTAGGGTGATTTCTGGCTTTCATGTATATGGTGGTTTTTATTTTATCATTCTGGATAGTCTGAGAGAGGGGTGATGGTTACTGAATTTGTGATGGAAATCAAATCAGCACCAACATTTCCTTTTTAGACACTATGATCAATATCCAGAATGGTAAAATACAAACTACCACATACAAGAAACCCATGGACCAACATACATATCTACACAATCACCCTAAAGAACCTTGTCTGGGTGAGACAAGAACCTTGTTTCACATGCATCTACCCAAAATGTCTGCCTACACCTAAAATAGGCACTTATCTGGCAATGTAAACAGTGCTCCTTATTCATGCAGCCCTAAGATTAGCTCCAGCTTCTAATAACAGTCCTTTGACAGCTGCTTCCCCTTCACCATCTCTAGGCAGTTAGCTGGAGTAAAGTTACGTTAGAAAGCAGACAGCAGGGCTGAATAATACCATGTACTTCAAGCAAAGCAGGTGTAGCACATATCATATTTACTCAACTATAAACACACCCCCTGACTATAAACCACACAGTCTTATTTTTGGACTGCCCAGAGTCTAGGGTCTCTGAGGCTGGGGACTATGCACCTGATTCAGCATTCCATGTAGCAGGGCTGGCCTGATCCAGCTTAGAAGCTCCAAGGCTGTACTGGGTCCACCCCTGTACACTCGCTCCAGGGCTGCATGTGGTCCCAGACTTCAATCACTCACTGGCTCTGGAGCCACATGCCGGGTCCTGAGCTGTAAGTTGGGTTAGACCCAGTGCGCTGAGTGCAGCTGCAGATCAATCACTCACACAGTTCTGATCCAGTGGTTGGGGTTGGGGAGAGAGTGGTGACAGCATTAAAATTGCCATTGCCACCACTCTGCCCCACCAAATTTCCTGAGGAGTCTTCTTCCCTCACATATCTCCACCCCCATTTTCTCCAGTTGATTTTGGGGAAAAGAGAAGTGGGTATATGGTAGCTTTTTCCACAGATAAGCAACAGCAACAAGTTGGCAGTGGCACTATGATTGTTATGCAGCTCAGTTAATTACGCCTTTACACAGTAAGTACGTGTATGCACAAGTGGAACATGTTGTGCTTAGTTTTTTTTTTATCAGCCCTTGTTCTTTGAGGGGAGGGAGTGGTGGGGTTTTTTTTGCTTTTTGGTTTTTTTGAGGAACAGAGTATAAAGAACTCTGAATTTAAATAAAAGAACATAAAACCTGGGCAGGGTATTTTTTCTCAGTAAGCTTCAGTCAACATCAGTACTGCTCCTTTGGAGGCTCTACCACTACATTCTGATTGCAGAGTTATGAACCCACAGCAGCTTTTATGCTGACAACTTGATTTTGAAGACAAAGTTTGCTCTCTCCTTGTCAAAATGTTTGACTTAAAAACAAATAAGTCTATATGAGGCTGGTGCCCAATTACTCTCTTACCTGGGTATGGCAGTTGAGCAAAGAGCAGCATTTTATCATTCTTTTTATCACCTAAGGTACAAAAAATGCAGAGGACAATTATGACATAGCTCCCAGAATGCTGATGCTTACATTAAGCACATAATGACAACTTATTCTTGAAGAACTGGAGAACAGCATATATTATCTGCAAAATGCACCCCCCTCTCTCATATACTGAGTACTTGCTTTGCAGTGCACCAAAGCATCCTAGCCATATTTTAGAAGATCCCTGCCCCAGAATAGGTAACTCCTTAGATCCATGGAACCCTTAAACAACCTAATCTCAAATAAAGTGATGTGGAAAAACATGGCTTTTCTGTTGTAGAAGTGATAGCAAGACTATGATAACCTAGCCCTGGCTCCCTGTCTACTCCCCCTCCCCCCATCCCCTTAAACTAAAAGTAGCTATTTGCTTGCCTCAATACATGCATGAACCCAGCTGGCTTCTAAATCTCCAAACCAGGGAAAAATTTAATCACTCTCCTTTAGGTCCAGGCAGGTCATGGCAAAGCCATGATCTCCTACTGCAGTGGTTCTCAACCTTTTTAGATTCAAGGCATCCCTCAGAAAATTCCAGCTCTTAGTTTTCACTTGTTCTTTGACTGCAGAAAAATAACAGAGCAATTCTTCTGTTGCAAAGAACTGGGTAAGACCATAATGGGTCAGAACATTTCATGCTATGAATTCCTATTTGAAATCTGTGTTTATCTTGCAAGTTGTGTGTAGGTGTTTGCACACCTAATGGTGTTAGTATCATGGGCACCATTAAAAGAATCTCAAGGCACCTCAGGGTACTGCAGAAGCCTGGCCAAGAATCACTGTTCTACTGACTACAGTGACTGACAGGCAGCTCCCCCACTGCTCCTTATCACAATACTATAAGCAGTTTTATGACTAACGTCTGAAATACTGTAACACTAAAGACAAGTCAACAGAGAAAGACCAGGCTGAAGTTGCATAGACGGTAGGGCTTTGCAAAACGGCACTGTTCTGTTTCAACGTTACAATGGTACAGCATTTTGTTTCGATTCGAAACCGCTATTCCATTTCGTTTAGTCGAAACAGTTTCGCTGTTTCAACGTTTCGCCCATAGGCTATAACGGGGAATCTCAAAACAGCCTATAACTGTCATTTCTGACCTGATTTGGATGAAACTTGCAGGAACGGTAGCCCCTGCTAAGGCCACGAAGTCTGCCAACTTTCAAGGAGATAGGTGCAGGGGCTTCTGGGTTCTGAGGCCCTGCACCTCTAGCTGTTGACAGGCAAAACTCGTGACATGGGTGAGTGACTGTGTGCGTGTATTAAGGTGTGCCCTCACTCAACTGACCCCAAGGCAGAAAGCAGGGCAGTTCAAACAATGCTGCCTTTTATGCAGTTTTTCCATCCCTCCCCCAGAGCACTGGGTTGGAAGGGACTTCAGGAAAGGATGACAGTCACTGGCCAGCTACACGGTCAATAATGGGAACACTCCCCCCCCACCCTCACTTCAGTTTCTGTTTCCCTGCAGGCAAGCCCAGCTTGAGCTTCGAAACTCGAAACGTTTTGAAAATTCTGAAGCATTTCAACTTGCCTCATTTCATTTTGAGGCCATTTCCAAGCTCTCCATTTTGATTTCGCTGTTTCGAACTCGAAACGAGTTGAAATGAAACTGAGGAAGAAGTGTCGCACAACCCTAATAGACAGGGGATTCAGCATTTCACAAGAATTTTCCATGACACTGAATGAAAAACATCCTTCTCATATAGCCAAAGCAGACCCAACTCCTCTTCCAGGGTACACCATAGAAAGGGTAACTATTTGCTACAATAAATATAATGCAGGTGAGATGCTATGGGGGCTTTGTGCTGAGAAGACCTAGGCTTTGGAACACCTTCCCCAAAGGTCACCAGTAAAGGTTCCTTAAACTCATCACATTTAGGCCAGGCTGAAGGACACCTTTGTTCACCTGAGCACTCCCCAGTGAGATGAAAAATCTAATTTTGTGCTGAAAGGCAGCAGCCAACTGTAACATGGAGCCCAGTTCCAGGGAATCAGCTTTTCCCTGTACACCTATTTACTCCAGTGATTCTCAACCAGGGTACTGCATGCACCCCTGAGAGAGGAGGTATGTGGTGAAAAGCACAACTCCTGCACAAACCACCCTTATGCTCTGAGCAGCATGTTCCTTGCTCAGCCCAGCTCCTTCCTCTGTTCCTCCTGTGCTCTCAGGGCTGATGGGAGAGGCTGAGAGTGGTGGCTCTAGGCACTGGCATTGAAGTCCCCAAAGTGCATTTAGGGGGCAGAGAATAGAAAGTGCAGACACAGAAGAGTTCTGTCCCTGTCACCAGTGGCCACTGGTACCCCCTTCTGCCTCCTTCAGGGGTCTAATGACCCATCCCCCTGAAGCTCCCCACCCACTTTGCTTTCATGGGGTGGCAGGGTGGGCAGGACACCCCTGCAATCTCTTAAAGGTACCAGAAGGTGTGGGAAGGTAAGCACTTTAAGAAATTAATTAGTCTTTAAATGAGGTGCCACTACCATTCTGAGAAATTATCAAAGGGTGCCTTGAGTCTTAAAAGGTTGAGAACCACTGATTTATACAATCCACACCCAGGATTCAGCAGCTACAGAAGAGATCCCACCACCACCAGATCTTGGTTGACACTATTTAAACATAACACATCTACATATGGTTAAGGTTTGCTTAACTATTCTGAAAATTCTACTCAGGGACATACAAATCCAAGATCATTCAATACTTTCTCCATCAGGAGTCTGAATGCTGACTCCTCCTTTGACTTGTACTCAACAAAAAAAAAAAGTGTCTGTGTTGAGGGGACTTCTGAGTTTTAAGCAGCAAAGGAAATAGATTGGTCTGTTAATTAAGACAGTTACAGCTAGCTATTTCAAAAGATGCATGTACAGACACATTCACACAATCTGTGTAGTACAGATCATAGGAAAGCAGGGCTGGAAGGGACCTCACAAGGTCATTTAGTCTAGCTCCTCAAGGCAGGATCATCTCTGACTAAACCTAAGATTCCTGACTAAACCATAGCAACTTATATGGTCAGTAGGGGTGTACTGATTCTTCAGGCTGATACCAATAGCCAATTATTAATTAGTCATATTGGCTGATACTGATCTGATTGCCGATATGCAGCCTGGCAGCTTAGAGAGCAGTATCTGGCTGGTAAGTCTGTTGCGGGGGAGGGGGGAAGGGAAGGAGGGGTGTGGGGGGCAGATCGAAGCCCCTGTGGTTAGGGAGGATGTAGGGCTGGGATGGAGCCATGAGTGGCTAGTTCAGGCACAGGCAGCTCCTGCTGTTGCAAGCACCCCTGGGGGAGTTATGGGGGGGCATGTATCCCCTGTGTCTGTAAGCAGGGAGAGGGCAGGCTGCTGCTGCAGGCGGGGGTGGTAGTCCCCCTCCCAGCACCACCACCCACTCCAAGTGCATCCCCGGCCCAGCCGCCACACCAGGAAGAGCCTGGCACCGCTCCCAACTCCAGCCTGTAGCGACAGCCCCCACTTGCTCCATGCCCAGATCAGGAGGAAGCATGTGCCATGCCGTGCTGTCCCCCCCCCAAATGCCTCCTGTATGAGCTGCTCATGGCTTCATCCCGCGCTTCAGCCCCACTCCCTCCCTCACCACAGGGGCCTCGATCTGCCTCCCCCGCTTTCCCTCCCGAGTCTGCCCCCCACAACAGACTTACCAGCCAGACACTGCTCTCCAAGGTGCCGGGCAGGCCACATGCATGCTGTGACTGCACATGTAAGCAGCATTTAACATCAGCCACGCCAGCCAGAAAAAAAGCAGTGTGCCAATAATGTCAATTTTCCTTTTATCAGTGCTGATACGATATGGACTGCTGTATCAATGCACCTCTAGTGGTCAGGTAAGACCCCATCTCCTAGCAGTGTCCAGCTGTACATGATGTTTTAACACAGCAAGCATCTAAATCCAAGCATAAATTCACCTGGTCTGTGAATACATCAGGTGGTACCATCTTATTGAAGAAATCGGAGCACACTGCTCCTGCCTGAAGGTAATAATGTAGAGCAGCTGAATACTGATTTGTTGCTATAGCGGGGGGAAAAAAAAAAAGAGAACCAGAGTAAAATCAGAAATGAAATTTAGTAATTTCCACGTAATGACTTGCAGGGTTTAGAAGATTATTCATGTAGACAAATGGTGACAAACCAAAGTTTACTGTACATTAATTCTACTTGGAAGAGGGTTTGTTTTATGGATGCATCAAGGTATGCACCACAGGGCTGCATGTGGCAAGACATGCTATTCTAAGGACCTGATGCACCTGCGAGGTAGGCTGTCTCTCCATGGGAAACTTCCTGGGTCTAGTAGCTGCACCCGTAAGCATGCTGGGCTGCATCATGCAAGCTGCCTCTTCAGCAAGAA